AGCTTGCATTCCCACCAACAGTGTAGGAGGGTTCCCCTTTCTCCGCATCCCCGCCAACATCTGTCGTTTCCTGACTTGTTAATTTTAGCCATTCTAAGCATCCAACTCTTGATTTCGACTCAGGTCATGATCTCAGGGTGGTGAGATTGAGCTCTGCGTTGGGCTTCATGTTGGGAATGGAGCCTGCTTGGCATTCTTTCTCTCCTTCTCCCTCTGCGCCGCCTCCCCCTCCTGTTCACGGTGCACATGCACATACACTCTCTCAAAAACATAAATAAAATTTATATCTTTAATGTACATCAGATTTATTTCTGTGTACTGTGTGAAGTAGGGATGTAATTTATTTTTCCAAGAGCACCAGTTGTTGAAACCCCATTTATTGAATGATTTGTCTTTTCCTCACTCTTTTGAAATGTTACTTTTAGCATATACTAAACTTACATATACAGTTAACTGTTCCTGAACCTGTGCCATACAATTTTAAATACTGTAGCTTTTTTTTTTTTTTTTTAAAGATTTTATTTATTTGACAGAGAGTGAGAGAGCGAGAGCAGGAACACAAGCAGGGGAAGTGGGAGAGGGAGAAGCAGGCTTCCTGCCGAGCAGGGAGCCAGATGTGGGACTCGATCCCAGGACCCTGGGATCATGATCTGAGCCGAAGGCAGATGCTTAATGACTGAGCCACCCAGGCGCCTTAAATAGCTTTAAAAGGCTATGAGTCCTTATGAGAAATCCTGGGGGTCAGATGTGGTTTGGAGTCCAGATTTTTCCCCCTGCTACCCAGTGGACATTATGCAGTATCCTGTAATCATATGCATTGTTTTCTCAACGACTGTATGAATAATACCTATAAACAATAAGTGACCTCATACCAGATCAAGTCAGGTTTTGCTGCTAAATAATTTAAGAAGAAAAAAAAACTTACTTTTAGAGGTTTTACGATTTTTGCATTGCAAGTGAAGGATCATGGACCTGTAATTTATCTTGCTATTTAAGGAACATCTTCTTTGTTCTTCTGTTGCAAATCGTTTAGGTTATTCTTACACCTTTACTCTTCTATTTGAATTTTAGAGTCAGCTTGTTGAGTTATTTGGAGAATCCTGTAGAGATTTTCATTAGGATAGGAAGTATTTCATGCTTGTACCTTTTTATACCGGTGTTTTTTGGTTTTGTTGCTATTGTGAGTGGGATTTTTAAAAAATTACATTTTCTAATTGTTATTACTAATGTATAGGAAAGTAGTGATATTTATATATTGATCTTGTATCTGATTTGTAGAGTTCTATTAACTTGTTAGTTGATGATCTTGGGTTTTCTAGTTAGAAAATCATAATTTCAAACTTGAGTTTTATCTTTTCATTGCTAGTATTTATGCCTCTTATTTTTTCTTTTCCATTTACATGGCATGGTTTCAGTATTCGGTTTTGAGACATGCAAAATACTGTTAAAATGATGTTTACAGTAAAATGTGCTATAAACAAATTTTGAATGCGTGAATAAATAGATGATAGGAAGGGAGATCTTTCTTATGTGGGGGTAATGAAAAGTTTCTGAGAGGCAAATATTTATTATTGGGGGATTTAATGTGTGATCTTTTCATTACAGATATGGTATAAGGTATTTCTTCAAGACTGGACAGCCGAAGACCTGTTACTCCTGATTAGCCTTAAGCAGACTTATAGCCATCGAGAAACCTCACGGAATTTCATATTTTGCTTTCTGCTTTACACCTTTCTTGGCACCCACGTTCATCTTGCAACCATGTATGGAAGTGCTCGCTCAGTTGGGAAGGTGGAACCGAGCAACCAGAGCCCTGGGCGTTCACCTAGGCTTCCACGTTCCCCTCGCTTGGGTCATCGTCGAACCAACAGTACAGGAGGGAGTTCTGGAAGCAGTGTTGGAGGTGGCAGTGGGAAAACCCTTTCAATGGAGAATATCCAATCCTTAAATGCTGCCTATGCCACATCTGGCCCTATGTACCTAAGTGACCATGAAAATGTGGGTTCAGAAACACCTAAAAGCACTATGACGCTTGGCCGTTCTGGGGGACGTCTGCCGTATGGTGTCAGGATGACTGCTATGGGCAGTAGCCCCAATATAGCTAGCAGTGGTGTTGCTAGTGACACCATAGCATTTGGAGAGCATCACCTCCCTCCTGTGAGTATGGCTTCCACTGTTCCTCACTCTCTTCGTCAGGCAAGAGATAATACAATCATGGATTTGCAGACACAGCTGAAAGAAGTATTAAGAGAAAATGATCTCTTGCGGAAGGATGTGGAAGTAAAGGAGAGCAAATTAAGTTCTTCAATGAACAGCATTAAGACTTTTTGGAGCCCAGAGCTGAAGAAAGAACGAGCCCTGAGAAAAGATGAAGCTTCCAAAATCACTATTTGGAAGGAACAGTATAGAGTTGTGCAGGAGGAAAACCAGGTTAGTTTTATATGTATGTTTACCTTTATTGACTGAATTCATGTGTGTAAGTGAAATGAGCTATTCTCTTTCTTTTCTTTTCTTAGGTTTTCCTCTTGGTTCATTTATCTTTCTTTTTCCTATTTATCTGAGTATTTTTCTATCCTCCATTTCTTAACCTTTTCCGGATTTGGTCCTGTACCTTTGTTTTTTTCTGGTTGCCAGGTCTGCTTGCTCACTATTCTTGCTTGCTTTTCCCACTTGCATTTCCCTGCTTCTCTTTCTCTTCCTGTCTTTTTTTTAAGCCTGTATTACCTTTCTCCAGTTCTTGCGAGAGTTTAATTTTGTCATCTGCTCTAAGATGCATTATCAAAGTTACTCAGGCTACGTACCTTAAGTGTCAGGTGTAGCAGTAAGATTTACTGTAGTGCTTGCTTCGGCAGCCCATAAACTGATATCAAAATAATACAGAAGATTATCATGGCCCCTGCGCAAGGATGACACGCAAATTTGTGAAGAGTTCCATATTTTTGCTGGTTGAACTTGGCATTCAAGCATCATGCACCTTGCACAATTTATGGCTCACATTATTATCTGGCCGACTGGTGTGCTGACACTCATTTCAACTGACCCCGATTTTAGTCCTGTGCACTGCCACCTCTGTGATGTTAAGTTAGTCATCACCAGGCCTAGCTGTAAAATGAGGGCTCAGACAAAATGAATTCAGGTTGTCAGATTGTATTGGTCTGTTTGTTTGTATGCAAAGTATCTGAATCTCCATGGCCTGCAGAGTTTGAGGGAGGGGGCGGGGAAAGGGAGAGAAGAGGTAAGTGTTAGTGGCTGCTGCACACCTGTGACGTCTCACCAGTCTGCCAGGAACGGACTTGAGGAGGCAAGAGGCTGTCCACACAGAGAAAAAGAAAGAAAAAAAATTTACCATAATAGGTGTAAAAAAATCAGTCTTGAAAAAACCAGAAAAACTACTGCAGGGCAAATCAGTATGTTGATAGCACAGAATGAAAATTAATTTTAAGACGTTAGTATTGATAATATAAATATTAAGTACCAACAATGGGATGCAGTTTTTTCTCTTGGCATTCATGAAAGTTTAACTTTAGGATGTTTATGTAGATTTTTAAAAGTCAAAAAAATTTTTTTCTTTTTTTAGTTCTTCAGGTATAAGGTGGAAGAAAGGCAATTTTGGTATGGTTGGTTGCTTCTAGAAAATAAATGAGATAACTAGGCATTAAAATTAGGGCTTTGCAGTTAGAGAGCTAAATGCTATCCTATTAGATATATGAAACATTTTTTTTTTCCTACTCTTCCAGGTTATAGTTGATGTTTTGGCCACTGTCATGTCACATTGCTGAGTCACATATGACTCCAAAGATGTGAACAAATCATATTCACGCTTCCAGCAATTAAAATCTTTTTTTTTTTTTAAGATTTTATTTATTTATTTGACAGAGAGACAACGAGAGAGGGAACACAAGCAGGGGGAGTGGGAGAGGGAGAAGCAGGCTTCCCGCTGAGCAGGGAGCCCGATGCGGGGCTCTATCCCAGGACCCCGGGATCATGACCTGAGCGACGCTTAATGACTGAGCCACCCAGGCGCCCTCAGCAATTAAAATCTTAATCATACTTTTTTTTGGACTTTTAGAACTTTTCTTAAATGTGTGTTTTAATTATTTGCCACCTTAATAAATTCTGTTACTCTTAAAGGAGAATTTTAAAGTAGCCATCTTATTGTTGATGTTATACTTTGTTTTGGGGTTAGGTTAATAAAAATTAGGAAGAAAGTAATAAACTTATTTGGATTTCTTCAGCGTTCTTGAATGATGCTAAGAAAGAAGGAATTAGAAGTGATCTGTCTTTGATGAAGTAAATCTAAGATTTCTTTTGATTGTTTTACCATTCTATTACTAATACTCAGTTCAGGCATTCATATCTACTCTTTTGGTTATTTGAAGAAGATTGTTAGTTATATTGTTTTGTATGTTAAAGCCCCAGACTTACTTTTTCAGTAATAAAAATAGCTTCTTTTCTCTGATCGTAAAAATAATACTGAAGAAGATAGATACAAAATCAAAATTTATCCCAAATCCTCCCATCTCTGAAAACTTTGCTATTCCATTGTTAACATTTTGTTGCTTCTCCATAATGAACATCTCTGTGCATACACACATAAAATTTATACAAATGGAATATTATAGGTGTTACATTGTGACCTTTTTTAGCCAACACATCTGCTGTATATTAAAGCCCTGTGTGTCTGAATCATTATTTTAATGCCTATATACTATTGTGTCTGTACTAGTTAATTTAACATCACAGAGTTAAAAATCTTCAAATTTATTTGATAGTACAATATGAATTAAAAACTAAACATTGGGGCACCTCTGGGTGGCTCAGTCGGTTAAGCATCCGACTCTTGGTTTCGGCTCAGGTGATCCAAGGGTTGTGAGATAGTCCCGCGTCAGGCTCCACTCAGTGCAGAGTCTGCTTAAGATTCTTTCTGCCGCTCTCTCTGCCCCTCCTCTGACTCTCTCAAATAAATCTTAAAAAAAAAAAACTAAAAAACTAAACCTTGAATTCATTTGAATCAGAGATTTCAAAATAATTAGAAATTATGATAATTTTCTTTTCTTAGGTATATTATAGCCTCAAACTACTTTGCATTTAGTTTTTAACCAGTGATTAAAAGTAATTTGTCATTATACAAAATCTGGATGTTTTATTAGTATACTTAAATTTTAAGTCTCTTAGAAACCCAGCCTTTTTTTTTAAAAAAGAGGAAATGTCCTTTAAAAAGTATTCCTTAGGAAGTTTCTTGAGTTTGAGTCTTCAAGACTTTAAAAACAAAAATGTGAAAAGAAAGAGAAGAATTGAAATAGACCCCAGTGTTAGATCTTAAAAGTAAGGACAAGGTTCCTAAATGTTTATTCTGATACATTTATTTATTTAAAATATAGATTTCCAGGCCTTTTGCTTCATAAATATCTCTGGAGATGGAGTCCAGGAGCCTATATTTTAAACAAGCTTCTCTGGTAGTTCTGAGATAAACCAATTTTGGGATCTTTAGAATGTAGTACATCTAATTCTTAAGCCAGTGTGTTGCTCATTTGCCATAGGGAATTCATGATTATTCTCTTGTCACCTTTGAGCTCAGTTGTGACAGAAGGGAAAATAAACAAGGGACCATTGGCTAAGTGCTTCTCAACCTTTTTTCGGCCTACTACACTTGAGGGTAGTGACAGGCTCCTGCACATAATGATCATTAACTTTGTCAGTGACCCTTAGTAGAAGGAATGTGTGTAGAGAAAGAAGTGTTTAAAATCTTAGATATGTTTATTTAAAAAAAACATCCTGGTGATTTTGATACCTCCTCACCTTGAGAATCACTGATGTACAAGATAAAATATTTAAATGACATATGACAGTAGGAGGGGGAAATAGGTTTTCTTCAGTTGACATTTATGTTCTCAGAAGGTGAAGTACAACACCAAAAGTTTATCATTCCTAAATATGAAATAATAGTAGATACATTCTGAAAGTTTTTATAGTTTGGTGTTGAATTGTAAATATCAAGAGAGAAAAAAGGAGTTTGCTTTATTTAATCTTATAGGAAGGTACCAATGTAGCATAGGTCTTAAAAACGGTATCTGTATTTCAAGGGTAGATATTAGGTTTTTTAGTTTGTAAAAATCAGATTGATAAATTTGGAGTATGTACTGATAGTGTTTCAGTGCTCAAATATGAGGTACTTTGTATGTATTTAGACAGTTAAGCATCATAGTATATCATACTTGAATATTATTCAATCTCAAATACATTGTTAATAAAAATCAGTGTACTTACGTTTACCTGAAAAGTGGTTGAGCTGTAACTTCTTGTTATAAATATTGTGTAAAAATTACACATGAATAAACAATTCCCTTTAAAGTTTCTACCTTTCAAGAGTATATTGACAGTATGTGTGTGTATAAATGTAATGTGTATCAATATAAGCGTATATATAATTTAAAGTGGATTTTGGTAGAAGTTGAATTCGGATTACTAGATTTATCATTGAATTATCTAGCCTCCAGTATACCTTTCTGATGATACTAAAAATGTGCCTTTCACCAAGATGTTTTTTATCATCAAGCAACTTGGAAATGCCCATTTTAACAAGGAAGAAAATTATTGGTATATGTCTTTATTTTCAAATAATTGAGGCAGCTAATTATGCCTATTCTTTGAAAGCTGTGTGGATAAAAAGCAATATCCTTTGTAGTTATTAAACTACATTCAAAAGCAAAGTGTTTGACTCTTCTGCAAAGAGTGTAGCGGGGACTCAGCACTTCAGTCCAGTGGAAGTGAAACAGTCCACAGGACTATGATGCCAAAAAAACCATATGCACTGAAGGAGGGTGAACACAGCCTTACTAGATTCCACCCCTTGCCCTAATTAAGCAGCAATGCTGGCAGGAATATATTCTTCCTGCACCCACTATAATTACCACGCAGTCCTAAAATTGTATAACTTTGGTCCAAAAAGCAAAGGGTGCAATTTTAAAGTAAAGTGAGACACTGCAGAGAACTGAGAATGCTAATTAATAGATTATAGTGAGCCAACAGTGGGCCCTAATTAAACTCTGCATTCATTATACCCTCCAGAGCCCTCAGAGGTCAGACATTTTCCACTTTACAAAGAAGATTGGTTTAATAGGATTTACAGTAATTAAACAAATTTCCCCATTCCAGTTTGAGACTGGGGATTTAGATGCATTCTAAATGTTTGATCTGATTGGGCCACAGAGGTTTGTTCTAGAATCCTATCAAATGTAAAAACACATTTGCTTAGAATTGCCTAATGTGTATGGTTCATTATTACAAAGTCCTTTTAGAAAATTGTTTCTAAAATAAATACCCAGCTGTTTTTACGTCTCACACTCCTTTTGTAGTTACTGAACTTTCAATTACTGGTGGTTGGAGATATGGAACAATACATGTGTTAACAGGAAAGACCTTTTCTTTTT